GCCCGCGTACCGCAAAAAAAAAAAAAAAAAAAGATTCTGGCCCGAAGGGGGCCCTCAATACTAGTTGAATGAATGTAAAAATAAATACATGCGTATTAAGCATACAGCAGTAACCACAATACTTCCATGGCCCTGAACTAACGTGCATTCCAGGAAAACCTCCTTTTAAAAGAAGAGACACCGCGCCAAAACGTAGGAGCCCAGAGAGTAAGGCGTCCCACATCCGGCTCACAGCGGCAAGAGCGGCGCGGGCAGAAGCCGCGTCCTGATTGGCCGAACGCACCCGCCCGCCCACCCTGCGCCGGCCCTCCTCTCCCCCAGCCCGCCTGCCTCTACTTCAGCCGGCGGAGAAACAAGGCCAACGACAAGGCCGAGAATAGCCGCTCTTCCGGCTCGGGCCAGCCCGCCAGCCCCGCCACCCGGAGCACCTCTTCGCACCGGGCCCTTCCCGCCCGCCTCCCACCCACTCAGCCTCACCGGGCCAGGGAGGTCCCATCTTGTCCTCCGCGTCTCCAGAGTTGGTTTTAAATCGCCCGCCGAGACGCCTGAGCGTAATAACGGCCGTGATGACGCCACCGTGGGCGGGGCCAGAGGCGCGCCTGCGCAGACCGCCTTGGTCGTCCTCCGCGCGAAAAGTGTCGTGACGCGCCGCGTGGAAGTGAGACGGAAGGGATTGAGCGCTCCGAGCTCGGGTCCTGGGGGTGGAGTGTAATGGATCCATGGACGCCCCCGCCACCTCCCCGGAAATAGTATGAAAACTCCCTCCTTTCGAGCGCTAGACGCAGAACTGGGCGCTAGGACCCACCCAGCGTGGAGCGGAGCGGGAAAGGGCTCTACTTTCACGGAATTTACATACTAACGGGGGAGGCAGGTGACTGAGGAAACAAAGATTGATTTTCCCATCGCGACCTGTGCTATAAGGGCAGCAAAACACTAGGAGGTAGAAAGTGATGATGGGGTGTGGGACGGAGGTGAGAGGTAGCCGACACCGGAATGAGGAGTGTTCCAGGCAGGGAAAGAACAGATGCAAAGTGTTGTGTGTACATTTTTTTTTTTTAATGAAGACCATCGTTTTTATTGATTCTTGCGAAAAGATTCCTGGATATCTTCCTCCCTTTCAAAAAAAATAAGATTAAGGTCGGAAGTGAGACGAGTGTAATGTGCCACCCATCTGTTCATTCTGCTTCATCTCATCCCAAGAACTGTATTACAGGAGAAAAGGCCAGGGCGATTCCCCCAAACATCCCTCGAACATCCTATAATGTCTTAACACACGTATGGCATTTTATACAGTGCTTCTTCTCCAAGGTGCTGTTGGCATTCAGGGTGAAACAACGCTTGGCCTGTGGGACTCCTGCTCAGCGTCCCTGACACGATTTTCTCGCTAAATGCCAACGGTGCCCCTCAATCGTTTTGGCAACCAAAGAAGTACCACCTTGTTGAAAACGACTTTTTAAGCCTATTTATTTTTTGCACCAAGTTGTTCTCCCAGTGACCACCTTCAAATCTTTAGTGTAAGGCAGTGTGGGATAGAAGAAAGAAAACAAGTTTACCCAGGAACCCAAATCAGCACCCAGGGGTCATCCTGGACACCTCCCTCTCCCTCACTCTTCACACACAATCCATTGCTGAGCTCTTTTTACTTCCTAAAAATCTCTTCTATCCCGCATCTCTTTTCATCCATATTTCCTTCTCGCTTGTCTGCAGCAGCCCCAAACCTGCTCTGACCCGCTTCTCCTTGGGCCCAGGGTGGTGGTTGCTAAGTACAAAACCGACCTGTCGCTTCCTCCCAAAGTCCAAAATGCTTCAAAGGTGCCATTGCTTAGGGAGATTCTAAAATGATCTACAAGGCCCTCCTGGGCCTGGTCCCCACAGCCTTTCCAGCCTCACTTTGCACCTTGCCTCCATTTTCTCCTTGCCCTCCAGTCACTGGGCCTCCTTTCACGGTGCCAGCTCTCACGACGGGGCCTCTGCATGTGCCATGTCTTCTACGTAGGATCCTCTCCATCCTCATCTTCACCCAGTTAACTTCTGTCAGATTTCAGCTCATATCACTTCCTCAGGGAGGCCTCCCTGATAGGCTCAAGTGTCCTTACTGGAGGCTTTAGTGGAACTTGTCACCCTTGTTTTTTTTGTTAATTTTCACTGGAGTATAGTTGATTTACAATGTTGTGTGAGTTTCAGGTGTACAGTAAAGTGAATCAGTTAATACATATATCCACTTTTTTTAGATTCTTTTCCCATATAGGTAACCTTTTACATCTGCTGGGGTGACTATTTCATATCTGTCTCCTGTGTAGACTGTCAGCCCCATGAGGACAAAGCGTGTCTTTGCTCACCATTGTTTTCCCAGGGCCTGATGCTAGCCCCGGATACAGCAAGTGCTTAAATATGTATTGAATGAGCAAAGTTCGAAGAAAAGTTTAATCCTGGATTGGGCGTCTTAACCTCTCTGGGCCCCATTTTCTTCCCTATTTATAAAACAGTGATGATAATACCCCCCCACCCCCACACTGGGCTTTGAACTGGCTTGGAACTCTTAGCAGAGGAAGGCTCCTAGGAGACCCATCAGCCATTGGCTGAGGTGTGAAGCTGTCCGGTGGTTGTAGTGGAGCCTCCTGAGCTGAGTGCCTGGGACTCCGTGTGCAGTGCCAACTGCACCCCGTGCATTTCTGTAGGCCAGGCCTGCCTGGTGCAGGCAGGTCTTTCACCTCCCGTTCTGAATGTCTTCTTTGTCTACGGGGATTAGGACTCCTAGGCGGGTGCCAAGAGATCCGTTCAACACTGGTATCAGTGGCCTGCAAAGCTCAACTCTTCTGTCCACAAAAGTAGTGGGGCCCCTCCTCCACCCCTCATCTGCCAGAAAAGTGCTGGAGCCATTCCCCTTCCCTATTTTTCACTCCTCACCCAGATTCTAATTCCCCAAAATGGACGCCAAACAGCCTTAGTTTAGGTGAGGAATAATAGTGTTATCAGCCGGCTACCTGAACAGTCTTTTGGCTGAAATTTGCCCTGACCTTCCAGCCTGCAGCTGGCTTATATCAGTGTAGTTCATGATATAAACCACCAAGTCACTGGGGTTCAACAGGGCATGTAGTTGAAATGGCTTTGCATTTGTTTTGGCCTCTGAGCAAATGCCTTTAATTTTTGTATGTGATATAAAATTCCTGACCTCCTAAGGACTGGATTACGAACCAACAATTTCTATCTTCCAGAATTCCCAAACAATAACATACCACCCTTTATGTTAAAATTAATATAGTTTATCTTAAAATTAATATAATGCTTTTTGCTTTTCAAAACACTGTAACCCCTACATCTTATTCCCAAGATCGTGCTGGAAGGTTGCTAGGACGGGTACTTTCTTCCAGGCTCTGCCACTTATGAGCTACGTATACTCCTTCTGAGCCTGTTTCCTCGTAGGCAAAATGGAGGGGTTAAAGCACCCACTTCGTGGGGTTATAGTGTGAAGATTAAATGAGTTACCAGATGTGCAGAACAGTGCCTGGACCATTGACAATGCTCGATGAATGCTAAGTATTCCCATTACTATAATCGCTGTCATATCCTGGGTGCCAGCCAGGTATTGTTTAGAATAAAATTGAGCTTCCTGAGTATCTGGAAGCTTCCCCTTTCATTGTAAGAGTATTCCCAGAGCACAACAGCTCTGTTCTTCCCATTAATACTTGTTTTTTCTATACTCTTTCTTATACTCTCTGCCCCACCCAAGCTTTGCTGACTGTTCCCTTTGTATTCTTCCACCCACTCATAACTTTACATTTTCTTCCTTGTCTTGTACTAGACTAGAAACCACCCAGTCCTAGATCATACCACCTTCTTTCTACCTGATAGGCCTGTGCCCTCTGGAGTTTATATATGTTGTTTGTAGACATTAAGACCTTTTAATTTGGCTGATATTTTGGTTTGGACACCATGAAAACGAATAACTTAGGTGTTCCTTAAGATTCTGAATTACTCTTTCCTGGTTACTGGCCATGCCACTGGGAAACCACAGGGCAGACTGGTTCAAAGTACGTTGAGAAACACCAGGATGTACTGGATGAAGCGATCAGGGTAACGTGAACTTCTTGGGAACAGGCATGTGAGAATGCTGATCTGCTGGTATTGCAGATTCCGACCGATACAGAAAATAATCTTCTTTATTGATTTGGAAGTAAAACACCAGCAAATTATTTTCTAAACAAAAAGCATATGTATTTTTAAATTAATTTATTTATTTTTGGCTGCGTTGGGTCTTTGTTGCTGCACGTGGGCTTTGTCTAGTTGTGGTGAGGGGAGCTATTCTTCGTTGCGGTGCGCGGGCTTCTCACTGCGGTGGCTTCTCTTGTTGCGGAGCACAGGCTGTAGGCGCGCGGGCTTCAGTAGTTGTGGCACGCGGGCTCAGTAGTTGTGGCTCGCGGGCTCTAGAGCGCAGGCTCGGTAGTTGTGGCACACGGGCTTAGCTGCTCCGCAGCATGTGGGATCTTCCCAGACCAGGGCTCGAACCCGTGTCCCCTGCATTGGCAGACAGATTCTCAACCACTGCACCACCAGGGAAATCCCAAAAAACATGTGGATGTTTTTAAAACACCAAAATCCCACCAGCATAGAAGCAACCATCATCGCATCTGCACTTGAAAGCTGTACCTGGCAGATAGCAGCAGACAACGCGAGAACACAGCAGCTCTCGCGCAGCAGTGGGAGCCCCAAATATTGGCTGGCATCAGCTTCCGGGACACTTGTAATTGATTTTTGCTGCGGGGAGGGTGTGGATTCTATAACCAAAGCCTACAAGGCCAGCACCTAAACCCCCCATGAGGTCACATTAAATGTGGGGCAAGGTTCTCCTCCCCCGAAGATCTTCCTGGCAGTGCTGGGTAGGAACAGCACTGGTATTTCCAAAACAACCACACCCACAACTAGAGTCACATTTCTTAACACTCCTCCCCAGGATGCCCAGGGTTTTGAAAGAAGGGGAAATATACCAATCATATCGCCAGAATTATGACTTTGTTAGAGCTGAACTGATTCACAGTCCCTTCCTGTCCAGCCCTGGCAGTGGGCCTGGATTGTGATGACCCCGCTTTGCAAACCCACACACGCAGTTCAAATAATCCCTTTGTCTTCTTTGAAAAGAGAATACAAAGGCATTACCAGACTGAGAAAAAGCACAGCTGCACGTGGTAGCTAAACCTTCTTTCCATTTAACAAATAAGTGGCTCCCCTCAGAAACCGTAATTGTTCATCTCAGAGCCCCCCAAAAGACTGTCCTCCTTAAGGGTTTTATAATGTTTCCAGGCACTGAGGAGGTCATCAGATGTTGATGATGTAATTAATTTTAGTAAATACATTATTTCAACTATGGGACAGGCCACTGTTGACTTAATATTTGTCTGTGAGTCAAGTTATTTGGGTAGTATTGGAGTTCTTTTCAGATGCATAAAACAGCTGTATTATTTTGCACATATCATATGAAAATGGGGCTAAATTAAGAAAATGGCAAATAAACATCTTGGTTATATCTTCAAATAGTGGAGGTCTGAAAAATTCGATCCTAAAATACGAGAAGCTACCATCACAGTATTTGGGATAAAATGGAGTGCTATCAGCTTGGATATGAGTTGGGCTGAGTTCAATAAGGAAACCAGTTTACAAGGGATGTGCTCGGAGTCGTTCACAAAAGAAGGAATAAGCTGGAATGGAAGTATTCTCTGGTTCTCTGACTTCCAGTGTTGCTACAAAACCCAACTTCACAGGCCTCTTCTGGATCTCAACTCTTTAGCAGCAAGATCCTCCCATAACATCTGTTACCCTGGGCCCTCTTGGGGTCATGATGAAAGTTAAGTCAGGAGAAGAAAACTTCAAAGACCCAGCCTTGATTAGGCCCTGCAGACTGGACCCCTCCTCACGACCACTTCACGTACTCCTAAGTGTCTTAGTCTATCATAGTCCCCACAGGCAAGGTGAAGATCACGTATACTGCTGATGTGTCTGAAAAATAAACTCTTCTGCAGCCTGACAATCAGAAATACCTTCTCCCCCTTTTTAATGGCCTGTACATTAATGTGCCCCAGCCAGCGAGGCACAGGGCAGAGCTTTCACCTGGGTCAGAAGGTTGTGGAACTCTTCCACTGCCTGTGAATGTGCCATGGGGTTTAGCACCAGGTGTTGGAAGAGATTGACGGGCTCAGCATTACGAAATGTCTTAGGGATCGGGATGGTCAGGGGCAGGAAGGTGTTACCAATGAGGAAATGATGGAGGGACCTTCTCTGGAGGCCTTGGCCCAAGAACCAGAGGATGTCCTGGAGCCGCTGGGAGAGCATGCCATGCTGCCAGTCTGTTAGGGGCAGCTGCAGCAACAGGTGCATGAGGGCTGTTTTGAAGTGGTAAGAGGTGAGGATGGGGTGGGATGCTCCCTGGGGTAAACTCTGAAGGTCCCGGAGACTCAAAATGATCTGGAGGCACTTGAGGTGACAGGTGTTCTCGGGAGCAAAACGCCCGACCAGCTTTAGGAACAAGTGCTCACAGGCTGCAAAGGACTCGGGCCAGTCCACGCTGGTGAGCTGTTCCTGGTCAGGGGCCTGACTCACCAGGTAGACCAAGGAGTCTTCCTGTTGCACACCCAGGACCAGGCGGATTGAGAGAAAGCGGCCTGAGCGGTAGTCCAGCCTGAGCTTGCAGGAGGTGGTGGACGGCGGCAGGCTGAGCTTGAAGTCATACTTGTGGGCCACGAGGGCCCAGGCATTGCCCACCATGTTCGTGAACCACTGCACGGTCTTACACACATCCAGGTAGGAGCCGGTGCAGACAGCCGCCTTGATGGAGCTGTTACACTTGCCCAGGAGGGCTGAGTGGTCCCTGTGGTGGTGCACCAGGCACAACACGTCCCCCAGAAGCTTCTCGCGCTTGCACACGCATTCCGACTCGACCCGCACGCGGCCACAGCGGCGGCCTAGGGCCAGATCCCTCATCTCCAGCGCAAACATAGTGCCCTGGGGGGGAACAATGGGCACCAGGATGTCAAATTTCTGGGTCTCGTGGAGGGTTCCCCATTTCTCGAAGGCAGCCCCGATGCCCAGGCAGTCCTCCAACTGTGGGTGAGCCTCCCGGCGGCTGAGCACCTGACAGGCCTTGATGAGGTCGTCCACAAAGCTCTCCACGAACTCGCAGGTGCAGGGCAGGTCCCGGGTGACGTTCTGGATCTGGTGTTTGTGAAAGGATTCCAGGGCCTCCCTCGGGGGGAAGTCGGTAAACCAGTTGTAGGAGGTGACAGGCACGACACGGACCTCCTCCGTCTCATCATCGCTGCTGGAATCAAAGGCCGGCTCGTGCTGCATGTTCTGTCGCAGGAGCTCAAAGATGAGAAAAAAGCAAAAGAGGCCAGCGTTCCACAGGTTTCCCAGCATCCAGCCCAGCGGCCCCTCGTGGCCATCCGCCTGGAATGGCCGCCCCCTGTCTTTCTTCCCCGGCACTAACTGGTCACTGGATGTGTCTCCTCTCCAGAAGTTCTCTGCCTTCTGCTGCTCCTCAGCTGCTCGCTTCCTCTCTTCAAACTCTAGTTCTAACTGGCGCATCTCCTCGCTCATCCGCTTCTCCAGCTGCCGACTTCTGGCTAGTGTGTCCAGGTCCATCCGGTCACTGACCATCAAAGGGTGGTGCACGACATACATCACTGCCAAGAACAGAAGGCTTATCACAGCCATTGGAGGCCTCTGCATCTAGACAAGTAGGAGGATGGGAGTTAGTGGTGATCTTCGGGACTCATCTGCTCTCCAGCGTGTATTCCTCATAGCGCTGGAACCCCAAATCCTGGAAGTCAGCTACTCAGGAGGAACAGAAAGCTCACAGAGCTGGGGTTGGACAGAGCAAGGGCGGCCTGCCTGGGAGGATCTGGGGAAAAAGGGGGGCAGCAGGATGTACCACCCAGCCTCTCTACTGCTTTCCTTCCACATGATGTGGGTGGTATTTAGGTTTCCAGAATGTGGACATGGGACTCTCTTCATTCCTAGGATGGGGAGGGGGACCCTGTTCCAGGGTGGCTTCACCCAACTCATCAGTCCACCATGGGCACCAGGTGTGCCCTGCTTATCCCAGAGGCTCCCTTCCATGGGCAGAAAGCACTGGTCTGCCTGGGCAACACCTTTCTTCTTGCCAGGCCGTCAGCCCCACGCCAAATGGGATGCTGTAGCATCCTACTTCCTCTGTGACTTCACAATCCTCATTCAGCTCAGCCTGTGTCATCAGACCACTCAGCAGCTCCTCCACTCCCGTGCCCAGTGGGCCAACTCCCCCGGGGGGGGGGGCTGCCAAGGAGGCACAGTGTCACCAGCCACTTCTCCACTCCTGCTGCTGTGCTCTCTGAGGTCCTACCGGGGCTGCCGGATACCGCATTGGTGGGCCAGGCCCAAAGGCAGGCACAGCTCCACCTCTTGGCCCAGGAAACTTCGTGAAGAACCGGATGCCCAAGGCCTCCTGAGAGCCCGCAGGAGTGGGTTCCTCTGCCTACCCATCCACCACAAAGGCCTGATGCTTCCTGCACTCACCCCACCTGTTCACAAGCTACTGGGCTTACCGAGATCATGAAGGACCAGCCGCGCGGGCGCTGAAGCCAGGTGGGGGACTCTCCTCCCTTTGGAACTCGTCCTTGCTTAGTCTCACCGCCCTCTCCAGGAGCCCTGTTAAAATTTACAACGTACCTGGGGGCTTTGGCTCAAAGCCATGTGCCTCCCCACCCCCCCCATTCATAACTTCCCCAAATTCCACGCCTAGAGATCTGAACTCTCATCCGCCTATTTAGACCAAGCCAACTCGTTTCTCCCGGGACCTGGGACCAGGTTACTCACGGTAGGCGTTAGCACGAACATGGTCTTAAAGAGCCCGCGCGGCCTGACCGTCCCCGCCTTCTCCCCCGCACGGTGGGGGCTCCGGGTTCCTCGCCGGGTCCGCCCGCGGACGTAGCCCCGGTCCCCTCTCCCGGGGAGCACATCATGTTTATCCAAGGGTCCGATTGTCTGTGAGCGGCGGGCCCCGAGACCCCACGGTGCCGCGCGCCGCTCAAAGGGCGCCAGCCAGACAACGCGCTCCCGCGGTCCAGGCTCCGCCCAGCCCCGCCCACCCAAATCCCCGCCGCGCAGCGAGCGCGCAGCAGGAGTCCAACCCTGAGGCCGGGTGACCCTTCTCGTTAGCGCGCGCAATGTGTCCGCCGCTTTGCCTCCCAAGGCCCTGCGGAGGGGCTGTGGCCACAGACTCGCTGCTGAGGGGCGCTCACGCCGCAGGCGATCAGCCTCCCTAGAGTCGCGCAAGGGGGCACTGCAGGGCCGGCTGTCAGCTTCACTCAGCTGGGTTCAATGGAGAATACACTTAATGAGATTTTAGAATACACTTACAGTGAGGGTGATGGTTGCATAACCAAGAAAGCATGGGGGGACCGTCATTCCCACTTCAGGCTGGCCCTGCGCAAAATGGTAGTTCCCAACCGGGGTCCTTGGACTCTTTAATCAATAGAAAATTGTAAAAGGCCGGATGAGAAATTCAGGCAAGGCTTTATTGGGACTCCTGCTGCAGCAGGAGAGAGAGAAAACAAGCAACAGTTTCCCTTGCTCATTCCCTGAGGGCGTGGGGGGAGCTGGTTTTTTAAATGGGGTGAGGGTAGGGGCAGGTTCAGGGGTTTGGGGGTAGGGGGCTTGGGTGGTCTGCCCACCCCCTTGGTGGTGCCTTTTGCAGGAATCTTGCCCAGGACCCTGCTTTTGCTGGGACACCTCAGAAGTGGCAGTTGGGTTTTTGGTCTTTTTGTAGCTTGTTTATAATTTGCCTCAAGTGCCACATGCATGTAGTCATTTTTAGTTCCTTATAGTTTCTTTGTATTCTGTTGCGGAGGAAATGTTTGCAGGTGCAAGCACTGCAGCAAAGGATCCCAGGTCCCCTCTGTCTCAGTACAGTAGGTGAGGTGTGTGGTCAGCATCCTTAATGTGCCTCACCAGACTCAGGTGTCTTTCCCCAATCCCTTTCTCCTATCAAAGTGACTCTCATGAAAAAAACAGACAGCACCCAAAGACCTGGCCTGAGGCCTTACTAGCTGCTTGGGAATAAGAATCCTAAATCTACCGGATGACTCAGGTGATAAGATGGGTGTGTAAAAGAGAACTTTATAAAGTGTGGAGACCGGATGAGCTTATTCGCTAAGAAATGCGAATGGAATGGGCTTTTTGAAAAGGATCTTTAGAGTCTCAGAAAGAACCCCAACCTTCCTTCCTGTCCTGTGTCAGCTATCCAAGGAGAAAAGGAAGTAATGATCTCTCCATAATTACCAATTAAAGTCCTTCTGCTGAAAGACAATCAAGTTTCATGCTTCCTTATCCAGGGTCAATGCAGAGGGGACGTCAAACAATTTGGACAGTACTTCCAAAAATACTGATGTATTTAATTGTGGAGGGGGAAAGAAAGACCGTCTTCTGGCTGACCATGATTGAAGTTCCAAACTTACTTTTTTATAAACTTGCATGATAAAGAATAGACCACAGGCTACTCCTACTAAGCATCAGTGCAATTGAGCAATAATAATGAGATTATCATTTTAAAAGTTATGACATGACAGTGTCAGGATGAAAAAAATACATTTCAGAGTGGGCAAAACAATGGTGTTTAGAGCCATGTGTTTAAAGGTGTGTTTTCATGATCAACTAAGGGTTTGCTTTTAAAGTGATTGTCGGGTTAGAAGACATTTGCTAATTCATGGTCTGCACAGAAATTAAGTTGGTTGCTATATCAAATTAGAGACTCCAAGCTAGAGAACTACTAATCCGTTGAAAGATTACACTTAAATAAACAAAAAGCCCTCTAGCAGTGGACATTTCTTGGTCTGTTTTTGGTGATTTTTCTTCTTCAACATGAAGTTGGCTTAGTGAGTGGATTAATAGGAAACCAAGTCATTCGGACACCTTGTCATTCACACTAATTGGTGATTGTACACAAATGACACATGAGTAAACTATAGCAGCGGTCACTCATTTAACAAATATGGTCGTTTTCCCCAAAAATAAATTTAATAAATTTATTTTCATCACAAAAAAATAAATACGTGGAAAGTAAGTACCTACATAATTACTTGATTCTGCCTCCTGGTCTGCAAAACCTAAAATTTGTTGAAGACTATTAGCCTTTTGGGGAGAACGGTTGCTCAAAGACTTGAGAACATTGGGAGAAACATCAGTCATCAATTAAAAAACATGGCAAACAGTTTTGAGTGGTTTTCCTAGGCCTGATGGATCTACAGATGTTACCAATACTGTTCAGATGTTGCTGTTTATTCAAGAAACCAAAGCAGAGTTTGTAGTTACTGAAGAAGTAGACTTTATGAATAGTCTGCATGGGACAACTAGAGGCAAAAATATTTCAGAGTTGAGGGACTTCCCTGGTGGTGCAGTGGTTAAGAATCTGCCTGCCAATGCAGGGAACATGGGTTTGATCCCTGGTCTGGGAAGATCCCACATGCTGCAGAGCAACTAAGCCCATGTGCCACAACTACTGAGCCCGTGTGCTGCAACTACCAAAGCCCATGAGCCTAGAGCCCATGCTCCGCAACAAGGGAAGCCACCGAAATGAGAAGCCTGTGCAGCGCAAGGAAGAGTAGCCCCCGCTTGCCGCAACTAGAGAAAGCCCGCGCACAGCAATGAAGACCCAACAGATCCAAAAATAAATAAATAAAATTAATTAATTAAAAAAAAAAGAGAGGGAGCCACTATTAGCCTGTCTTGGGTGATGTTATAGAAGGTGGAAAGACGCCACACAGAGAAGACTCCCACTGCTAGAGTGGATGGCAGATTATTCGTGAAAAGATAATTATGATCATTGGGATAAGCTGAGCCATAGGTCTGTGAAGATATTTTAAAATGATACACAAACCATAAAGTTTTCGTAAAAGAGTCTTGTGGGGCACCCACGTATTTCCAGTATGTTTACCAAAAATACTACATAAATCTTACACTCATGTTTTGGTCATCACACACCTATAAAAACATACAAATATACTGTATATATAAAAAATAGAATGTGTAAATCAACATGGAAAATAGACCATAATATATTAAGTGTGTGTGGGGGGGAAAGCCGGTTAGAAAGGCATGCTATGGTTTAATAGCACTGTGTTACGTGTTGTGTGTATATACTACCTAGGAAATATGCTTAGGAAAAAAGTTTCAAAGGGTGAATTCCAAAATACTTACAGTGATCTTCTAAGGGTGTAGGGATTGATTACGGGTGACTTTTACCTCTTTCTATGCTTTTGAACTGTTTAACAATGAGCAGGTACTATTTTCACAATATAAAGATAACATTCAGACAATGCCCAAATCATGAATGAATGGGCTCTGGTGTGTCTTACTCGAATGGAGCTCAAAATGCGTTTTCTAAAGAAACAGGTGCGCCCAAGCTGGCATGTGTAACCCAGGACCTGATTTGTGCCTGATCGGCGTTCTCCCGGTTCCGGAGACCCGGGAAAGGGGCTTCCTCCTTCCGGTCAGTTCTGGGGGCTCCACGAGCGCCCTCCCCTCGCCCCTCAGAGGCAACTGTACCCGGAGCCGCGCCTGCACCCTCCTACGCCCAAGCCCCCCCATCTCCGTGCTCTCAGCCGGGTCCGCTCCTCCGGGACACATCGGTCACCGCCGGCGAGATTGGGGGCTCACAGTGATGGGGCGCATGGTTGCGAGGAGCTCGCGACCCTCCCGAAAGTGGAGAGCCTGTGAATGAGGGTCTGAGCCATCACTTCCCTGCACTGCACTAACGAGCAGAGTACTTCTGCGGGGGAATCTTCGCGGACTTTCCCGGGAATGCCAGCTCCCACCCCGACCCCTGCAGCTCGGCTCGCCCCTGCGCCTTCCGGGCGATCTTCCTCGGCTGCCACATGTCGAAGTTCTCACTATGGTGTTGTAAATTACTTTCCTTCTAGTTCTGATTGTGTTGCAGTTAGCACTTCGTTTAAATACTGTCCGTGAGGAGCGGTTGTTTTTTAAAATTATTTATTTTTGGCTGCATTGGGTGGTGCTGTGCGCGGGCTTCTCATTGCGGTGGCTTCCCTTGTTGCAGACCACGGGCTCTAGGCGCGCGGGCTTCAGTAGTTGTGGCACGTGGGTTCAGTAGTTGTGGCTTGCGTGCTCTAGAGCGCAGGCTCAGTAGTTGTGGCGCACGGGCTTAGTTGCTCCGCGGCATGTGGGATCTTCCCAGACCAGGGCTTGAACCCTTGTCCCCTGCATTGGCAGGTGGATTCTTAACCACTGCGCCAGCAGGGAAGCCCGGACGAGCGTTTTAACTAATGACAAATTTCATTTCAGGATAAAAAAGGCGTGCTTTCTTCTGGGCGGCTGCTACAGCAGGGGCGGGTCCTTCCTACGAGGGACCTGCGCCCCCAAAGGAAGACCCTTGTAGTCCGGATCTGGAAATGAGGAGTCTCAGGTTGCAAACCCAGGTCAACAGAAGACCTGCGGGCAGAACCAAGGAAAGACGAGGCGGAAGGACTGAGAGCCCTCGCGTGGATCTGGTCCCCCTATCCAGACGCCAGCTCTCGCCCGGGGGCCGGACATTGCTGGGAGCTCAGCGAGTCCCCTTGCCAGTCCCCGAGGGGGCGAAGAAAACTCCTCCTTTGCAATGATCCATCCTTCCAGGTTGGCAGGATAAAGAGCACAGGGACCGGGTCTCTAAGCCATGTCTCGCTGCCTGTTATCTGGGGCCTGGAAAGTTCTGAACCTCCCAAAGCCTCAGCTTCCTCATCTGATAAACACAACAATAAAAGTCCTTTCCTTTTAAGGTCAGTGTGCAGATTAAATAACCCCATATATTTTAGAGGCCCTTGCTCACGGATTAGTCACCTGCACCTCCTGGGTGTTGATATCTCATCTGTGTTCACATTACAAAATACAGCATTTACCACAGAAATCTACACCTTCCTGAGTTGGTTATCTGTTGGTATCTCTAATGAAATTCTGAGAACCTCAAGGGCAAAGACTAAAATTAGACCTAGTTCAGTTCTGGTTGTGCAACAGCTAAGTGTTTTTGAATGAACGAATGGAATAAATGAATGACACAGGTTTGAATAAATAATACAGTGTTCCAGCCATGAAAAATAGGAGAGTGTTTGGGTAGGGTAGGGATCGTACCTTTTTGCTTTTATAGGCTGTTTGGAAGTTAGAGATAACTTACAGGAAGCAAGCCTAGGATCCACACAGAATCCTGACCAGGATGATGCAGAAATTGGGTCTATGGCCAAGAATTAGAGAAGCAAATAAACAAACATTTAGATCTTAAATAAAATATTTGGTTTGGGGGCTATGGGTGGTAGATCATGGAAACCAAGGCAAGATAACAGGGATACAGTAAACAACTATGTGAGAAACCATTTTTATCAACCACAAATTTCAAAAAATCATTTTTTTTCACAACTGCAAGGTTTTCATCAAACCAGCTTCTTATTATCACAAGTTGCAAAAATTATCTTGCTCTGGTGACAAACATTTTTTGAAGCTTGCTGTGCAGTCAAGGCCTGTGTGGACAGACTTGTATGTTGTTGATGCTTCTGAACATAAAGCGGAAGTCGAAAATTGCTTCCTTGTTTTCAGTCATCCAGGAATGCCCTGTGGAGGAGGAGAATTATTAATAGAAGAGCTGCTATCTGTGCATAAAATGCACCACTCCTGCTTAATCAATCTGAATGGCATATCATTGCACATTATTTACTTCTCATATATTTCTTCAGAAAAACAACAGGCTCTCTCCTCTCAGATGTAGCACTTGTACTGCTGGGAGTACAACAAATAGATGCTAATGATTAAATGGAGATTTCAAGATGTAAGCAGATTCTGTCCAAAGTCTATCATGATGAATTGTTCATTCATTCAAAAATATTTATTTGAGCATATTTTATAACCATGGAAAGTATGTTTGGATCAGATACAATGAAAGGTATGAGAACAGGATCTAAGTCCTCAGCAAGGATCTCACCTATACACACATATTTCCGGTTTGTTCTCCCATCTTGCTCCCAGTTTGCTAATTACCATACTTCTCTCTCCTAATGTTCTGTTCTTCATCATTACAGAGTTTTCTTTCCATATTCTGATCTACTTACTTTTTCTTCTCGTGTTTCATTAGCATTTTCCCAAAGTTTTTTAGAGTTCTTTCGTAGATTTTCAGCCATTTATACATTTCTTAAATATTTAAGCCTTTGAATAAAACAAACATTCAAAAAATGCATAAACATTTTTATCAAGTAAATACTGGTCAAAGACATTCTATCTCCCCACAAATTGATTATTAATTACAAAAGGAAAAATAGTAGCTTCAAAGCAGAGAGATCTGTCAAGAGATCAAAATTAACATCACCATGATGTGCTTCCTGGGACAATAGAAAGGACACAACATCGCCCACATAATATTCTTGCCAAAAGTGCATAACTTGTATAACCCACACTGTGGGGAAACATAAAATCAAATATAAATATATTTTACAAAATAACTGGTGTTTACCCTTCAAAATGACAGTGTCAAGAAAGACAAAAAAGGGAATTCCCTGGCTATCCAGTGGAGGACTCTGAGCTTCCACTGCAGGGGGCACGGGTTCCATCCCAGATTGGGGAACTAAGATCCTGAAAGCTGTATGGTGCAGCCAAAAAAAAAATGCTGAGAGAGGAATAGCTCCAGATTTAAGAAAACTAAAGAGATAAGACAATTAGTGAAATGTATAATTCTGCATTGGCTATTGGAAGCTGAAAAAGTGCTATAAAAGACATTATTGAGATAACTGTCAAAATTAGAATATGGCAATAGTATTGCATTACTGTTAGGTGAGAAAATGTCATTCTTAAGAAATCCACACTGCTGTATGAAGGATTAAAGGGGCATGAATGTATGCAACTTTAAGTTATTTCAGAAGGAAACATATAGAAAATAGTAAAAACAAATGTGGCAAAATATTAATAATTGCTTAATGTGAATAAAGGGTACATTTAAGTTTGAAATTACTTCAAAATAAAATTTTAAAAAAGAAAAATGAATTTTATCTATATTAACACTTTAAAGTATTAATTTCAAAATGCAGAGCACATCTTAAGCAAACATGTTACACTTTAGAGAAATTCTATGCTTCATTTTAGTTTTTATTTTTATTTATTTATTTCAGGTAGAAGTTGTGACTTTATTTATTTATTTATTTTTAACATCTTTATTGGAGTATAATTGCTTTACAATGGTGTGTTAGTTTCTGCTTTATAACAAAGTGAATCAGCTATACATATCCATATATCCCCATACTTCCTCCCTCTTGCTCTATGCTTCATTTTAAGAAGAGCAAACATTCAGAAACCACGCTGAATTAGTCACTTCCTGCCTCTCACCCACCCATGGTGACATCTGTCAACTAACAGACATGGTTCTCACATGACACTGGATGTTTGCATGTCTGTTGGTTGAAATGATCAATCACATGAATATCACACAAAAGTGAACCTTGGGAAGACACACTGTGATGCAGAATGTGACCATACTTCAGCTTGGCGATATTCAAGGGTTTGGCTGTGAGTGTGAAGAGAAATCGGGTGAGAGGGGTGTCATGACTTAGAAAAGAGTAGTGTTGGGCCATATCAGGAATATTTTAAAATAACTTTTGGAGTTTTAGGTATACAAGCAAGAGGTGTAATATATGTTCATTGAAGAAATCTTAGAAAATACAGGTAAGCAAAAGGAAGAAAATAAAAATCACCCACAACCCTACCACCCAAGATAACTGCTGTAAGCGTTTTGAAGTTGACATAGGTCTGAAGGATGTTCACACAGAGGCCGAAGTGTCATTAACAGTGTGGCTGTAGGGCCGGCCCTACCCCCATTCTTCAGTCGTGAGGCCTTGGCTAAGCTATTTGGCCACTTTACATCTCAGTTTTCTTTATCTGTAAAATGGAGAAAATACTACTACCTTGCTCAAAGTATTGATATAAGTAAGTGAGTTAATATTTCTAAAGCACTTTAGAACAATGCCTGGCATATGGTGAAACAATATGCATGTTAACATAAATTTTCTTTTTCTCTTCTTTTTTTAAAACAAATACTGGGACTTCCCTGGTGGTCCAGTGGGTAAGATTCTGCACTCCCAATACAGGGGGCCCAGATTCGATCCCTGGTGAGGGAACTAGATCCCACATGCATGCCACAGCTAAGAGTCTGCATGCTGCAGCTAAAAGATCCCCCCATGCGACAACGAAGATCCCCCGTGCCACGACTAAGACACGGCACAGCCAAAATAAATAAATTAATAAAAAAAAATAACCTGAAATACTATAACAGGTAAAACTAACCTATAGTAGAAAAAAATCATAACAGTGAATCCCCCTAGGGACAGCGATTGATTAAGGGCATGAGGGAACTTTCTGGGGTAATGATAATGTTCTATACCTTGGTGGGGGGTTGAGTTTACACAAATTTATGAGTTTGTCAAAACACTGAGAACTTTACACTTAAGGTCCGTGCATTTCATTACATGTAAATTTTATTTCAAATGAACAAAAAACTGTAAGCAAATATTGAAATATTGTTAATGATGTTCATGCTAAAGTATTTAGGGGAAAGTATACTGGTGCCTGTAATTTACTTCAAAATGCATCAAAAAATAAGGTGGATTGATGGATGGATAGAGGGTTGGATAGATGGACAGATGTACAGTAAAGCAAGTATAGTAAAATGTTAATGTTAGAATTGAGGTAGTGTTCATCATAAAATTCTTTCAGTTTTTTGGTATGACTAAAATTTTTCATAATATATAAAATATGGGGAAAATAATATATAATACTGTGGTACTAACTTGCTGTTTCTGCTCTAAGATGTATCATGATAATCCTATGTTATTAGTCTTTTCTATAAATGTAATCATTGTAATATCATATTCTATAGATTAATGTAATTAACTAAACCACTATTACATATTTCAATTAATTCTGAATTCATTACAAAGCAGTGAGAAGAATGCTTCATGAAAGAACTCTCATTAATACCCTCAAAGATTTACGAGAGGACATTTTATCTATGAAACTAGAACAAGATACCCTTTAAAAAATTAGAGTCCTGGGGAGGGAGGGATAAATTAGGAGTTTGGAATTAACAGATACACACTAAAACAGATAAGCAGCAAGGACCTACTGTATAACACAGGGCACTATATTCAATATCCTGTAATAACCTGTAATGGAACAGAATCTGGAAAAGAATATATATGTATATATGTGTATACATAACTGAATCACTTTGCTATGCACCTGAAATAACACAACATTGTAAATCAACTATATTCAATTAAAAACAAATTAGAATCCAAAAGGATTTTTTGGAAATTAAAAACTTGATAATAGAAATGAAAAACTCCATAGAGAGACTGAACGATAAAACCAAAGAAATCTCCCCAAGTTACAGTGAACATGCAAAGGGCTGGAAAAGAGTAGAGAAAAATTACAAGGGTCAGCCAAGTAGGTCCAACATATGACAATTTGATGTCCCAGAAAGAACAGGGAAAAAGGAAAGGAGGAAATCTCATCAAAGAAATAATGAAACAAGTACCCATAACTGGAGGACATGAGTTTTCAGATTGAAGCTGAGTGCCCAGCACATGGATGAAAATAAACCCACACCAAGGTATCTTCAGAACCCTCAGGACAAACAGAGGATTCTACAAGTTTCTGGACAGAAACAGGTCACATACACAGGATCAGAAAGAATGGTGTCAGACTTCTCAGCACAGCATTAGAAGCAAAGAGATGAAAGAACAATGCCTTCAAAGTTCTGAAGGAAAATGGTTTCCAAGTCTAGAATTTTATGTTCAGGCAAATTACCAAACAAGAGAGTAGGAATAAAGAGGGTTTTAGCCATACAAGGTTTAAAAAGAAAACAACCTCCTATGTATCCCTTTTCTTTCTTTTTTTTTTTTGTTGAATTCTACCAGTCTTTGAGTACTTCACCTACTATATGCTGTGTTGAGTATTAGTTTCATACCTTTTCTTTTTTCTTTTTTTTTGGCTGCAGAGCTTGTGGGATCTTAGTTCCCAGGCCAGGGGTCGAACCCAGGCCCCCTGCAGTAGAAGCACGGAGTCCTAACCACTGGACTGCCAGGGAGTTCCCTGTACCCTTTTCAAGAAGCTGAAACCACCACCTTGCTGGCTGCCCAACTGCCTGTGCTTCCAGGCCTCCTTGTGGCCTCGCCTGCTTGGTAGACGCCCAGGGAAGCTGAGGCCAGCCTCTTATGCAGACATTCTTCCTCATCTGACCTTCTCCTGGTGCCTCCATCTATTGGGACCACATTGCCCTTTCTTTGCACAGCTGGGTTTGTGCTTGCTACCCGTTTTCTCAAAACTGAGCAATATATATATTTTAAAAATAAAGTTATTTATTTTATTTTTTGGCTGCATTGGGTCTTCGTTGCTGCACACGGGCTTTCTCTAGCTGCGGCGAGCAGGGGCTACTCTTCATTGCAGTGCAAGGGCTCCTCATGGTGGTGGCTTCTCTTGTTGCGGAGCATGGACTCTAGTTGCGCGGGCTTCAGTAGTTGTGGCACGCGGGCTCAGTAGTTGTGGCACGCGGGCTCAGTAGTTGTGGCACACGGGCTCACTAGTTGTGGCATGTGGGCTCACTAGTTGTGGCACACGGGCTTAGTTGCCCTGCGGCAGGTGGGATCTTCCCGGACCAGCGCTCGAACCCTTGTCCCCTGCATTGGCAGGCAGATTCTTAACCACGGCACCATCAGGGAAGCCCCCTGAGCAATATATTGATTACAGATCATATACAAGTAGTAAATTTATAAAGAATGGCTCACATAAAAGTCAGGAAAGTGGTTACTTCTGGTGGGGGGAGTGGGAGGAACCATTGGAGGCCCCCCATGGGGTTTCTGAGGTTCTAGGGTGATGGGCACATAGGTGTATGATCTCTTTTCCTATTTCCTTGGCACCTTGGTCTCTGGCAGGAATTAGTACTCCAAGCCTTCCCTAAGCCTGCCCTCAGCTGTACCTGCCTCTGAGAAGGGCTTACGCTTGGTGATCCTCCTCACAACGGGCACAGTCACGAGTACATGGCAGGTATTGTGTCCATGCTTGTTGGCTTATTAAAAAGTTGGCTGCAGGGAGTTCTACGGGAAGTTCAGTGGTTAGGACTCCACGTTTTCACTGTTGAGGGCCCAGGGTCAGTCCCTGGT